GAGACTGCCCCAGGCAAGCCCAGGAGCAGCCTGCCACAGCAGCTGCTTATTAAACACCTCCACGGCCACTCTTCCCTGATTCAAGCCACAGTCACAACTTCACTTATTAACTGAAGGGCAGAGACCATTATTTAAATACTAGCAATGAACCTCTGAGGTTTGGTCACCGTTCCCCACTAAGACCCAGGAAATAGTCCACAGCCAAACCAGCAGTTCTAAGCTATTATTATTCCACTGACTTGATAATTTCACAGGTCCTGTTCATCAACACCATTCCTTCAAAGCAAAGAATCCTCCACCTCACATACACACCCACACCCACGACAACGCTCCTCGTTCTCCACTCAGAAAACTAGTAAGTTAAAAAAAAAATTTTTCCCTCTATCCAGTCCCTGTCCTCCATTCACTCATGAATCCCCCACTTGGCCCTTTGCTAACCTAGAATCCAGCAGAAACGCCCCACCCTGTCCTCAATTGTCACCTGCTTCTACCCTGTTAATAATACCTTTCAGTAAGAATGAAGTACAAGGCCACAGACCGTCACATTGTGAGCGTATGGGCAGAGAGTTTAGGCCTTAGGCTTGTACTGTTATCTGCTGCAGAGAAGGTGTCCATCTCCCACACTCTTCTTGGCCCCTGAAATGTCCGCCCATACAGGAAGGGCTGCAGGCCCTCAGCTGTGTGCAGAGCACAGCCCGTGGCCAAGGGGAAGTAGGGTCCAGAGAGAGTCACCAACAGACACTCACTGTCCATGGAGCGGAGGCACCACCCAGGCAACAGGGGAGGGTCTCCTTCCTCACAGGTGGTCCAGACCAGGGGCAGAAGGAAGTGGGCAAGATTCTCATGCAAACCATTCCCACCAGGAACAGGAAAGGACTTCTGAACATTCTTGTGACCTTTCATCAGGCTCACCTTCTAAACTCGGTACAAAGCACAGAGACCCTGTAGATGAAGGTCGGAGGGCTTCTCTCAGGACAGCATGGTCACTTTCTAGACCATGGTGGATGCCAATGTGATGACGGAGAGCTCAGGCCCCGCCATTCCACCAGTCTGGGTTCTAACTACCAGCTGACTCCAACAAAAATAACTATCACTTACTGAGCGCTTACAATGTGCCAGGCACTAGGTTAAATGCTTACATGCATTATCTCATTAAATCCGCACAGCAATCCCATGAAGAAGGCACTATTACCACACCCATCTGAGTCAGAGTGAGAGGCCTAGAGCTACCAAGTAACCCACTGGGGTCATATGGCTAGTGACTGGCAAGGCAGGACTCAGACCTAGGACTATTTGGGCCCAAAGTCCATCTTCTTAACCATTGTTCTCGGCCTCAATCAAGATGCCTCAGCTTCCTCATCCATAAAATGGGATAACACCTAATTGAAGACTGTTTTCTGAATTAAAAGTGACAGTGTATATAAACTCTTAGCACTGTGCCTGGAGCATATTAAGCACTATTACTATTACTGCAATTGTTATTAGTAAACACACTGCTGGCATCTCACTGACTCGAGAATAAAGAGAGAAGGAGCCTCAGCAGACAGGCATTTGGTGGAGGGGAGACAGGGTCTTAAAATATCCAACAGATTTGAAAACTGCTGGCCAGAAAGCCCTCGACTTCACATTTTCTGCCCCTCTATTCACATAAATCACCCACAAGTCCTAAAAACCCCCAACACTTCAGTATCCAAACGATACCTCTTCAAACTGCCCTCACAGTGAAATCTCTTTGCCCAAGAAAACAGTCCCCATACGAGTAGATGAAAGCATTACTCAGCAAAGAGGCGGTCCCAGAACAGCCTCCAGCCCCGAGAGCCCAAGTGAGTAAGGTTACTGCTGGTCAACCTGATGAGGGTGTGGGTGAGGGGAAACAATGAGGACATTTTCAAACGGAAGCACAACACAGTCAGCAGCAGGAACTCGGAACCTCACTGAGAATGGGGCCCGTGGGCAAGGAGAGGCCAGGACCAAGAGGAGGTGGGCCTAGAAGAGCTCTTAAATAAGGCTCCTTCATCACCACTGGGTGCAAATCCCAGCACCCACCCAACAGGGGAAACTGAGTCAGGAAATGGAAACTTTTATAATCTCTTTAAAAACTGCAAGCTGGGCAGCTGTGTGGAGGGTGATTAAGAGGAAAAGAAGTTTGTCTTGACCAAGAAAAGGAGAGAATAATGAGGTTCTGCCCAAGAACCAGCTCCTCTCTTCAGGGACCTGTTTGTGTTCCAGCTGCTGTGTCCCACGTGCCAGAAAGCACAGTGACAGTTTGCCATGGTGTGTCCTGTGATGTGTCCCCGACAGTCACCTGGACATCCTCCCCTTGGGCTGTCCTCTCCACCCCTGCAGCTAGCACTCAGGAGGTGAGGTGCCCAGACATTACTAAAATGGGAAGAGGTCTGGGCAACGATGGGCCACATCTGGCAGAGTGATGAAATCTGCTCCCTTGGGAACCCACCGTGGGCTAGCTTCATATGGAAAGGGCCACTGCTGTACGCACATGCCAGGCAGTGTTCCGAACAGTGACACCCTTTGCCCTGAGTCATTCACATCCTCCCCCTTCCTGCCTCTGTCAACAGCAGGGAGGGCCCTGAGCATGCCGGGAGCTCACTGGTATTCTGAAGATCCGAACTCAAGGATTCATTAGAATCAGGCTCCAGCCAACTCAGCAGCTAGGTTAGATTCAAATCACAGGGCTGTTTGGTCTCCCTTAGGATATACTTCTGGAATTTTCTGACATAAATTAGGTTAAGTTATAGGGAAAAAGCCCAGTGGGAAAAAATAAATACCATAAAAAGGGTTCCAAAGTGCCCCTGTGTAGGGTGAAGTTACATTTCACCCCTTCTGAAAAGAGAGGTCAGTTTCAAACACACTAATTACAGAATTGTACAACACAACAAGTAAATACAAGGAACCCTGGTGGCACAGTGGTTAAGTGCTCAGCTGCTAACTGAAAGGCCGACAGTTTGAACCCACCAGCAGTTCTGCAGGAAAAAGATTTGGCAGTCTGCTTCCATAAAGATTTACAGCCTTGGAAACCCTATGGGGCAGTTCTACTCTGTCCTACAGGGTCACTCTAAGTCGGAACTGACTCGACGGCCGTGGGTTTTGGTGGGTAAGAGGAAATATATTTTAAATGTAGTCACATTATAGCTACTAAAATGCTCAGAATATAAAACAAGACAAAAATTAGTAAGCATAAATAAGCCCCATGCTGCCTGAGAGGGTTTCAATTTCAGGAGTAAAACAGAAATGTGTGCCTTCAGATGCCAAGAGAGGCTAAGGGGTGGTGCACACGTGCAGAGGGGACTTGAAGCCCCATGAGCTGTCGTCACTAAACACCAGGAAGGGCACCCAAGCACATCGCTGCGATGTCGACCCTCCGCAGACGCTCCCTCATCCAACTCCTTATTTCACTAGTTACAAGCAACTCAAGCTCTTAGCTCATAACTAGTGAAATAAGGTCAGGCCTCCTGAGTCTGAGGTAAAGAATGCTACAAACTTTCAGGCTCACTAACACTGCTTCCTCAAAGGGAAGTGGAGCTGGGGGACAACCTAGTCCCTGTCCTGGTGGGCAAAGTCCAAGACGGACAGGGTTCTGACTCGACCACGTGAGCTGGGAAGCCTGCTCCCCTGCCCCCTCCGCTGGCCCAGTTTCCTCATGGGACAGTGCTGATGACACATACCCGAGGTACTCAGAAGGCTGCTGTGAGAATGTACAGGACACCAGATGGAAAACAAAAAGTCTCTAGGTCAGGATTGCACAATATTTATAAACTAGTGGACACATAAAACTATGCATGGAAGTGATAAACACTGAATTCACAGCAAGGGAGGACACAGAGAACGCTTCAACTGTCCCATTTAGGGGGGAAAAGGATCTGAAGCAAATTATGCCACCCAGTAAGATCTGACATGGGTGTGGTTAAAATAGTCTCTCAATCTCATATGGTGACATATTTAAGATGAGAAAGTAACAACAATGTGCTATACAGACACAAGGGGGCAGTGTTCTGGCTACCAAACTAGGAAATTCTCGTATTTCACTAGAAAGCGTGGGGAAACCAGCAGAAAATAAACCTCAAGCTGACCCACTGGCCTTCTTGCTGACAGCTTATGATTCTCCAGCTTCAGTTTCGCAGGATCCCACCCACCCACAGGCTCCAGGATCCCCCAACCTGCTACTGCCAGGCTCCCTGGTCCCAAAGGCAGCCCCACTCAAGAGTGGGTCTCTGCTGCTGGGCCCAGCCCTGAGGCTCCCTGCTCTCGATCCAAGGACCCCAACAAATGTCCACACGGGGCAACATAGGACATGAGGTACATTTCTGTGTCTGGTCTGGGGATCCGTGGTCTTCCTCCCATTAGAAAATTCCAGCTTGGTTACTAATCACCTTTACCGTTGAGGATGTGTTGCTGCAATACTGACTCATCTTAAAGACAAGCATTTAGAAGAGGCCTGAAAGCACTTATTTTTTCTGTGCCCAGGACAGGACTCAATCCCCAAAGCTGTCTTCAGTAACATGAACCTACTCAGCCAGCATCACGGAAAAGTGGAATTAGAAGGCAGCTCAGAAAAGAAGGACCCAAGGAGAAATGTGTCGTGCCCAGGGCACGTTTTGTTTTGTTTTTAAGGGGACCTTGGACCTGAAAAAGAAAAGCCACTCAGCTGAAATGGAAGGAAAAGTTGAGAGAAAGAAGCCGCTTCAATCCTGCAGGCATGTGGATGTTCACACAGTGACCTGTGAGTTCAATGTCTCCAGGGCACTTCAGTGCTCTGGGCATGAGCCTGCCGGAAGCCAAGAAGGCTGATTTTAAAAAATAACACAGACAACAGACAAGGTGCTGAAGCAAATCATTACACCCTAACTGGCATGGAATCATTTAATGGATTTGGGCCCCAGGTTCAACTACACTCCATTGCTTGCTGCCCTGACAAAGACCATGTCTTCCTAAAGTCAATCACACTCCTGTATTTAGGGAAGGAAAAAAATAAATCATGGTTGAAAAAAAAAAAAGATACAACTACAGTAAGATATAAACTACATGTAAACTGGTCACATTATATAAAAATTATGCATTTAATTTTCAGAATAGTCAAACCTCTAATCAGGTTAGGTTTTCCATAGGTTTCAGTGAAGTCATGGCACAACTGAAATCACTAAGAAACAAGGGATTTGTAAAACACACACAGACACACACTCACCTTAGAAGTAGTGTATACACAACACAGCAGCTACATGGGTGGTAGGGCAAAGGATGCATGAATAACTAGAAGCTAATTCCCTCTGCTCCCTGCCTAATGAGAAAGCCCCAAGAAGGATTCAGCAGCAGCAGGTCTACAGCACACACGTCAACAGCCGCATCTCTGAACAGACAGCTAGCTGGACTGCCTAGGGAAGACACTTGAGCCTAAAACCTGCAGGAAAGGGCTCGGTTACAATACATTCTACTGCAGACATTTGAAATATTACAGTGTGGTTTTTTCCAGACTATTATAAATAATTTTTCGTGCTTTCTTAAAAAATTAAAAACTGAAACCTTCTTTCAGTCTGTGATGAAGTAAGCTGAAAACATATCATAAAGCACAGCTTACACTCGGCAGGATTTTGGTGTAGACAGAATGCTTATACGCTTAATAAACCTGCGTCCCTTCGACCTAGCAGAAGGCAGCCTTCCTCTCAGAGCTCCAAGGAAGGGGTTACAAGAGAAGCACTCGGGTGAAAGCTCGCCAGCACAGCAAAGTCATCCGAGCTGCGCACCTCTCCCCTGCCGGCAGGGCGGCTTCAGAGATGATAAGCCAGGTCCCCCAAGCCCGTCAGACACAGATAATCACTGTTCTCTGATTGGGCCCAGAAACAGTGCAATCGATGGGGGCTAGAACCACCAAGCAGATGCTCTCAAGCTGGGCAACAGTCTTCCAGATTGTTACTTTTGTTTAAAAAACCCAAATGGGTTTGTTTACACCTGTGACTTCATCCCAACTCAAAGCTGTAGTTCACTCACAATCCAAATCATAAACACACAGATTCTATATACAGATTTTTTTAACCCACAATGAAAAAAATTCTCCGCCAAAAAAAAAAAAAAAAAAGTGAGTTGAAGCCTTGTCATTGTCTAAGTCACACAGCAGCTGGGCCTGCCTGAGACCTGGCCCTTGCTCAGTCCTGCTCCTGCTCTCCCGGCCCAGGCGGCCCCTACTCGTCCTCTGTGGCGGCTGTCAACATCCCCTTGTCAGTCAGGTGGGACTTGAGCGTGTTAAAGATGTGGAGCTGCTGGTCGGGCCGTAGGGTCAGGAACTGCTGAATCAGCTTGCTCGGGTTAGGGCCCCTGGAACAGAAGGGGAAGAAACAGCACTGAGTGGAGCCCGGCGCCTTCTCGGGCTTGATTAACAAGTGGCTGCTCAGACCACTGGATTATCTGAACTAATGGAGGGCGGTGGGGCTCACAGAGAATCCATAGAAGTCACAACTGAAAACTGCATTCACATTTGGGATGCTTTTCACTTGAACTTAGAAAGAGCTAAAATTCTTGAGTTTCACCATACTTAAAACTCCATCCACTTGGTTCAGGTGGAAAGGCACTATACCTGATAAAACTGGCGATGTACACGTTGACAAAGGTGGCCATCAGGTACTGGCAGTCAAAGCGATCCATGATGCCTCCGTGGCCGGGAATGGTATTGGCAAAGTCCTGTTAGAGGTGAGCAAAGGATCGATGAGCCTGGACTCAGCCAATGACCAATCCCCAGCCTAACAGCCTTACCCCAACGTCCAGTTCCCGTCCCGAGTAGCTGAGGTCAACAGAAAGTGAGAATTAAATATTCATTCCAATGCTGAGACTATAATAGGACACAATCTTGTTAAATTACAAAACGCTCTTTTAAAGAAAGCTGTGTTAACAAATAACTGAAAATCCAAATATTGAATTTTCTTGGAAACAACACATTTACATTTAATCTACCTAACTTCAGTGCATGGGCCAAGAATAACACACGTTAATAGCCTGGTATATTTTGAAGGGAGTGGTGGTTGACGGAGTGGAGCTGGTGGAAAAAGGCAGAAGATGGGTGAAGGTGAGGGAAAGAGTGAGACGGGGGAGGAGCAGATAAGGAGAAAAACAGACAGCAGGGTTTTCCTACTTTGATTTTAAAGGCTCGTTTGAATCCACTTGCAAAGAACCCTCCAAAGGGGCCGATGAGCGAGGCAAAGGTGGAGAGGGCAATGCTGTGAATCTGGAAGGGGTACATCCGGACCGTTTTCTGAGAGGATACAATAAAGTAAAAGTTAGACGTCCACAAGCCCAGCCTTAGTACGTGTTAGTATATATCACTTATGAAACTATATTTTCTCTCTCACACACGCACGAGAAGACGATTTTTTTTTTGTTTGTTTTCTTTTTCATTTTTGCGTATCTCTAACATCTGGCTCAACTACAGACATGAAGATGTTCTGCATTTCATCTGCTCTAATACGTTGCTTTGGTTAAAGAAAAGCCAGCCGTACACGGATTATGTAGTTGAAAAAGGAAGAGCATTTTAGTAATCTTTTCAGATAACTGTAGATATCCTTCTGACACTACACCAGAACTTGACAGGTGGTAGTTTCTTAAAAGTTAGGTGCAATGTGGAATCTGAAACCCTATCAGTGAAGTTTTCGTACCCTGCTACATGAAACTCCTTTGGACTATTAAGCACTGTGAATGGATCTTTTACTCATGCATGACTGTATAAAACATGCTAGTTCACTGAGTTATGACAATCTTCCATATGTAGACACGTTTGACTGCATAATGTCAAAAAAAAAAAAAAAAATCACCTTGTCCCCACGGATCTCACTAGGAAAGTCTAAGTATTAGGAAGTTGTCAAGCTCACAGCAGCAGACTCAAGTTTTTAAAATTCTGATTTTCACTTAAAAGCCAAACTTATGACTGATAACAATGACTGTCAGTTGCTTCCTTGAAGTGACAGGCTCACTCTCTTCACTTGTGAGAAAATGTCAAATACCTAAGTCTGAACAGCTATAGTTTGCCACGTCTTTTCAAGTAAAAATTATGTTTCTAGAAAAAAGCAGCTGGTTCAGCTCACAATTCAAACCACCGCACAAGTGCCTTTCCTTTAGGCCAGCCTTGTACTTGCAGGCAGCACACTTTCCATTTTATGCACGTTTTCTATTCCCTTACAGAAAATATTAAAAAGATGTGTATTCAAGGGTCAAGGCTTTAATAAAATTAATAATTTTACTATTTCATCAAAGACATTCTTAAGTGAAACGGGTTTTTTTTTTTCCTGAGTGTGAGGCATGAAGAATCCAGCGACTTCTAGCACAGTCTGGTGCTGCAGCCCCGATACCTGCTCAGGGGGCCAACAGCGCTACCCACCATAGCTTCTGCACCATCACAGCAAATGCCAACAAAGTGAAAAACGCAAATAATGTCACAGGACTAGTATGAAAATACCGTCTTTGAAAACCCCTAGAAAGGATCTCAGGCCCCCTTGGGAGCCCACAAACAAAGCACACATTGAGAACCACCAGTCTGAACAATATGAGGTGGGAGGAAGGGTCTCTTCCAGCCCTCAGCCTGAACTGGCTTGAGCAATTATCCTTAATCCTAGGTCTTACAGCTTTGAAGTGTTTTTGCTTATGGGAGGGGGCCTCTCACTCTGTAATCACTATCCAGTAGAGGACCTGAGGCTATTCATCCCATCCACATACCCAGCCAATGACCGACTGGATCACCCCCGGAATGCTGTACTCCTGCAGGCGAAACAGGTCTGAGGGCTCACAGTCCACAGTGAAGCTGTTGGTGTCATTGTTGTACTCCACGGGGCAGACGAAGCATCTGTACGCGGACATCACATAGGACAACTGAGGATGAAGAAAAGATGAGCAAGTTCTAGCCATCCAGCCTGGCCGGCAGACCCCGCGTTTGGGATGTTCCTCACAGTGCCACGCACCTAACTGCCAGCTATGTAATCAATCAGAGGCCCATGTTTCACTACATGTGTATTTTACCTCCATTTAAAAATAAATAAATAAAAATAGATGTTCATGGCCCACTGAGGTCCCACAGGTGATAAACACACACATACTTGCCCAAACACCCGAGTTCTAAAAAAAATCCAGGGAAGACTTGAAGGAATGTGGGTAAAGCAGCTTCTCCCCATTTGGGGGGAGTGGAGCTACAGTCCATTTCCCTCAGGATCTCTTAACCCAATGATAAACGGAGGGGTGTGGGACAGTGGGAGGCAGACAGCCAGGAGGAAGAAGGCTGAAGAGCAATTAAAGCAGGGAGGTCAGCACAATGGGACAGCTAGACAGCCCTGGGGATCAGAAGCAGGGAATGCTGCTCCCGGTAGGGCTGGAAGATCATCCACCTCCAGGCAAGGTGTACATGGGGGAACCTGGGTTGGAGTGGCACATCAGCCCTTAGACTCCTTCTCTGCCCTTGAAATAGCACATGTCTGGACAAGAACGCTGCCAGCTGAGTGTCACCATGCCCCACTGAGGCATGAGGGAAGGCAAGGTGCGCACTCCTGCTACTCCTCCACCATCAGACCTTGTGTGAAGCTGGCTGGGGAAGGGCAGCCAGTGCTGCCCCTGGTGATGACAGCGCACCACGCTGGGCCCCTCTTAGCGCAAGGTCACCAATTCAGCAGGACAGACTTCCTGAGCTCAGGAAGAAACACTCTCTAGCCCTGGACAGGCCTTGGATGGTGGGTGTGAGGCCTCCGTTCACTCCCCCACCCTGGTGGGCGCCACCACCTACCAGGAGGCCAAACACCACAGTGGCAAAGAAGCCCCCAATGAAGCCTTCCCAGGTCTTCTTTGGGGAGAGCTGTGGACAGAAAGCAAGTTTTTAGCAAAGGGGTTTGGTAACTCTGGCTCTGGAAACTATACTTATAAACACCTATTATTAAAAAAACCCATTCTATTAACCACCTCACCTTCAAAAATTCCCCCAGGCTTTTTTCCTTGTTCCCTCTCTAATACCCTACAGTTTCCTTCATGTTTCAATTGGTCATTCAGATATTTTAAATACTAAAAAGCAGTATATTAATTAAATGACGAGACTCAAATCCAGATCAAAGCCTCAAAAGTATGCCTATATAGTCTGAAAAAATATTTTACTAGCTCTTTTTTTCTTTTCCCCGAGTGGCTGTCAATGTTTTCCTTTGGCTTTTGTCTTAAAATTAATTTATGATTAGCTCTCGTGGGCCAGCCTTTCCCCAGGATAATATAAAGACATGGCCACAATACATAACCAGCTAGCTCTCCTCTCTGCCTCCCAAGCTGATCTGCTGACACTGAAAGCACCACCCTCCCCTCACCAGGGTATTTCATGTTAGGGTGCTCCACTCACCTTGATGAGCGGGGTCCGACCAAAGAAAAAGCCAAACATATAGGCCATGATGTCATTACAGATGACACAGGAAATGGGAACGATGAACCTAGGCAATAAGGCAAAGTCAGGATCAACTCTATCAAGATGCAGTACCTCTAAGGCCACAAAACAATGCCACATGAAGGTCTCAATATCAAAATAACCCATTAAGTACCTGTAACCCATTAAGGAATAACTTAAAAAGAAATAAAACACCAAATAAGCCAAACCTAGCACCTAGGACCTGGAATGTTGTAGTCATCACTGAACGACTACTGAATAAATGGAGCTGACATCTATACTATAAAGTGTCATTTGCTCTTTTTTCATTATAAAGTAATATAGGCAAATGATCATACAAATTCAAACAGTAATGGCAAAAAAGTTTTTATTCTTTCCCCCACCCCATCTCCATTCTCAAAAATAACCACTTTTAATCATTTCTGATTATTCTTCTAGTAGTTACCTCTACAGTTCTACGTAATACATTTTAGTGACTATTTCATGATTTAGTTAGCCTTTTTTGTTTCTTACTAGCTCCAGTGAGTCCTACCCTTCCCCAGGACTGCACTGAGAACACAACCACAACACACAGCTCCTTTCGTCTCTGTTCCCCTGCTGACCTGGTCATCCTCACTGTGAAAACGGGACGTTTCTCCACTCTCCTCACTCCCCGCTCTGACAGTCTCTTTTTTTGTTTTGTTATACGTAAGGCTGCTATGAGTCAGAACCAATTCAACGGTACCTAACAACATTATAGCTTCATATCATCTACATTAATCTCATCAACTTTAGGCAGTATTTTCTGACTTCCTGTTTAAGGGAGGGGTTTAGAGCATCAGTAGTCTCCTTACTCCACTCGCCTCCCAATCCCCATAACATTATTTGACTTCACCAAGGCTTCTAACACATTCCCTTGGCTATTATTACATCTTCTATTCTAGGTTGATTATGAAAACCAGTAACTAGAGTTTTGTTTTTTGTGGTTGTTGTTAAGACTATAAGAAGCAGAACATATGCCAATTCAACAATTTTTACATGTTCAGTTCAGGGACACTGACTACACTCTCCAAGGTGTCCGATCATTCTCACCTTCCTTTCCCAAATTGTTCCTCGCTGCCCTCTTAAGCTTCCTGTCTCATCTTTAGAGTTGCTGTTGTCAATCTGATCCCAAATAAACACAACAACTGGAGTTTTCAATATTATCCACTGTAGAATCAAGTATGTCTGGCCCTAAAGATGAGTACCCACTACGTGCCACTCTTGAGAAATACCTAACAAAAAGTCTGAGAGCAAGGGAAAGATGTGCATGCCTCCCCCAGCCACTGTAATTGTTTTAAATATAATAATGCCTAAAGCTGACATTTATAGGAGCTAGTCTTTGTTCTAAGCACTTTATAACTAATTACTAAGGTATTCATTCCTCAGGAGGCTGGTATAATCAGACCCCTATTCTAACACAGGAAAAAGAGGCACGGTCTAGGATCTTAAACACAATGCTCGAGTGCCTCTCTCACATACACTAGGCTATGCCTTTGCCTTTTCTTCACATTAGATCTTTCAGCTTCTTGAGTCACCCTGCTGATTTCCATCAATGTACAGATTTCCTGTTGAATCCACCCTTGTATTTCTGGAATAGTCTACTCAGTAACAGTATACTACTCTTTTGACACATTCAATTTGCTAATGTTTAATTTAGAATGGTTTATCTATAATCATAAGAGAAATCAGTTTATCATTCTTGTTTTTCCCTCCCTGTGCTTGCTGGTTTTAGTATCAAGGGTTAGATAAGACTCAGCTGTTAGCCCATTTGAGCCTGGTTCCTTTTCCAGGTGTGGATTCTTAATCAATTTTCCAAACTCTTCTGTAGTTTCTGATCTATTCAAGTTTTCTTCTTCATGAAATTTAGTTTACATTTTTCCAGGAAGTCATGAAAATTTCCTCTAGGCTTTCAAATCTGTTGCCATACAATTGCACTGTCTTTGGTTCTTTAAATATCCCTCTTCCTATTAGTCTACAGCAGTGGTTCTCAAAGTGTGAGCCCTGACCAGGAACAGAATCACCTGAAAACTTGTTAGAAATGCAAATTCTCAGGCCCTGCCCCAGACCTCCTGAAGTAGAAATTTAGAGATGGGGTCCAGCAATCCAAGTTGTAACCACCCTTACAGGGGACTCTGATGCAGCTCCAATGTGAGAACCACTGGCCTAGAAGTTAAGGCAGCCCTATCTGCACATGAGAACCACCCACTAAATAAAAGAAAAATCTCCACCACCACCCTCACTCACCAGATCATTCCTTCAAACAGATTGTGAATAACAAGGTGTGACTGGGTCACAACGATCAGTAAGGTTACATGGGTCCAGCCAAACTGCAAAAGAAGAAACACCGTAAGCTCTACCTACCAATTTACCCCGAAAATAACTCCAGAGAACAGTTAACACCAAATAGAAAACTGCAGAGAAACCAGCAGGCAGAACACCTGCTTCTGAGCCTGTCTTTCTGGAAGTGAAAACGTACAGTTAGGCCTCTGGGAGTTAACACTTTGTCCCCTAGCTAACTCCCTATCTCAAGTGCCCCTACTCACCCAAAAAGGACAGCAAGATCTATTCCTAAGGGAGTATTTTCATGCTCTGAAAGCCTGGGTACTTTTCGTTTTCTTAACAAGTATTTGGAGTACGTGGGGCACTCAGGGCCCCTGGTGGCGCAATGGTTAGAGTTTGGCTGCTAACCAAAAAGGTCGGCAGTTCAAATCCACCAGCTGCTCCTTAGAAACCCTATGGGGCACTTCTACTCTGTTCTTATAGGGTCGCTATAAGTTGGAATCAACTTGACAGAAACGGGTTTTTTGGGGCACTCAGACAGCAGACATTCTCAAACGGAGGGACAGAATGATCAGCACCAAGTTGTGGTGGTTCGTGTTATGTGTCAACGTGGCTGGCCATGATGCCCAGCCGTCTGGTCAAACGCTAGTCGAGATGTTGCTGAGAAGGTATTTTGTAGATATGATTAACATTTACAATCAGATGACTCTAAGTAAGAGAGATTATCCTCAATAATGCGGGTGGGCCTCCTCCAATTAGTCAAAGGTCTTAAAAGCAGAAACTGAGATTTCGCAAAGAAAAAGGAATTCTGTCTCAAGACTGTAACATAGAAATTCTGCCTGAGTTTCCAGCCTACTGGCTGGAATACACACACACACACACACATATTCCACCCTCCCCAAGAGTTGAAGGCAACTGTGAAAATAACTAGTAATATGCACACACAGACACACACACCTCCCACTGGCTGTTTCTCTGGAGAATCCTGGCTGATACATGAGTGATGTATCAGGCAGGATATTTGTGGGCAACACCTGAAGCTTCACCTGAGGCTTACCTGGAGCCCACTGTCAGGGCCCTAGTGAAGAGATTGCTTAGGGTGTCAGTTAAGTAACAGAGACTGGGTCTAGGTGGACAGCAAGCTGCCAAACTAAATGGATGCTCTTCCCTTATGCCCCAGGTTCTAGATGCATACAGAACTGACTGAGTGCCAGAGCTGAGTTTATCACAGAGAGAATGAGCAGCCTGCTGAGCTTCTGGACAGAACTTCATTGAAACCAAGAATCCTGGCACACACACATGCATCTCCCTTACCATGTAGAACTGCAGTCGATAATGCTTCTTGACCAGACTCAGCACAAACATGCAGAAGCCTAGTTTGAGGAGGGAGAAGGAGAAAGGACAAAATGAATCACATCCTGTGTTTATCTCTGCCCTAGTCATTTCTTTCGGCTGTGCTAAGGGTCCTTTGGCTAATTTCTTGGCAGCAGTTAGCCAGTGAACAATTCCAAAGCCCCAGGTGAAGAAAAACTAGTTATCCAAATAAGCAGTCAGGAGGAGAAAATGACTCCTTCAAGAAAATCAACACGTTGAAGGCAGTATTTTTTAAATCTTGCAGACTGCACTCAATTTAGGACACTGTTTGCCTAATAGGAACGTTTTGTTCCTGTAACAGGGGTCAGCAAACCAAGGCTTTGAAGCAGTTCAGAACAGTTCAGTAACTGCCAACATAAACGAGGGCAGCACAGCAACCAAATCTGTTACCAGTAGGATTTCGACCCGAGTAGGAAACAAACAGTGGTGCCCCGCTCAAAGATGGTGGCCAAGTACACCATTTTGAATGTGTGTCGCTCTCCACAGTCCTGCCAATAATCCAGTCTCTCCCATGGATCCCTGATATGGAAGCCTAATATAGAAGACTGGATTACTGGCAGGACTGAGGAGAGCAACACACGTTCAAAGCGGCGTAGTTCGGCTGCCATCTTTGAGTAGGGCACTGCCGTTTGTTTCCTAACCAAAACACCAAACCAAACCCACTGCTGTCGAGTCAATTCCCACTCATTAGAGACCCTATAGGACAGAGTAGAACTGCCCCATAGTTTCCAAGAAGCAGCTGATGGATTCAAACTGCCAAACTTTTCAGTTAGCAGCCAAGCTCTTAACCACTATGCCACCAGGGCTCCGTCTATTTCCTATTCAGGTCAAAATCCAACCAGCAACAGATTTGGTTGCTATGCAACGCATACACTGGTAGGCAATTACTGAACTATTCCGAACGGGTTCAAAGCCCTGCAGCAAACAACAGCCAGGCCCACTCTTTGTTTTTCTAAATAAAGTTTTACTGGAACACAGCCATGCCAATTCATTAACATATTGTCTACGGCTGCTTTCTTGCTATACTGGCAGAATCAAGTAGTTGGGATACAGACCATGTGGCCCCAAAGCCTAAAATATTTACTAACTGGACCTTTAAAAAAAAAATTGCCAGCCTCTGTCCTGAAGAAAGGAGCCCTGGCGGTACAGTGGTTAAGCGCTTGCTGCCAACCGAAAGGTGAGCAGTTCAAACCCACCACCTGCTCTGCAGGAAAAAGATGTGGCAGTCTGCTTCCATAAAGATTACAGCCTAGGAAACCCTATAGGGCAGTTTTACTCTGTCCTACAGGGTCGTTGTGTGTTGGAATTGACTCAACAGCAACGGATTTGGCTTTGGGTTTTTTGGGTCCTAAAGAATCGGGGATGGAGGGAGGTCCACCTGGAACAGGGTCAAGGCCAGCCTGGCATTTTTCGCATTCTGATCCACATGGCGGCAAAAATGTCTGCAGCTCGCCCCTCTTCTCCAACAACAAAGAGGGATTTTCACCCACAAGTGTGCTGAGACCTTAAAAGCAGTTCCGCCCAGACGCCTCTCACTTATCCCAGCCAAGTGTGTCACTGTTCCACAGTCCCTGAGCTCCCCGTGTTAGGGGCTGCCTTCAGGGTCTGAGGGTGTTCTTCTGAATAGCCTCGATGACAGCCGTGAATTTTCTATGTTAATGGCCAGGTACCTTTCACAGAGCCAAAGTACTGCTATCACACCATCAAAAATAAGATCAGACTAAAATTACTGATAACCAATTTCTCATGTGCCTCATAAACTGGCTTTGAAGGCAACTCTGAAAAGAACCATTATTAGAATACATGTACGGTCTTAACTGAGTTTATATTAAATAGCAGTTAATGTTTGTCAAGTTTTAACACATCTGATCTAATCCTCATAGTAACCCTGCAGTTTTAGCTCTAGATTACAAAAGAGCTAACTCAGACTCAGAAAGATTAAATTCCTGGCCCCCCTAAGGTCACAGAGTCTTTTTCAGTCCAAACCCAGTAAAACTTCCATCACGCTGCAATGTTTCTCAAGGCAGCCTCCTAAGATACTTACTACTCTAAAGTAAATGGTCGCTTTTACATGCAAGCTCCTGGATTTTTGTTTTGGTCACACCACAGACTCTGCCAACAGGAGTCAGGACAGGCCGTGTTATGCCATCTTCCAGCTGAGGTCAGAACACAGGACAGGTGGCACAAAACTGTAGCCCCCTCCCCCAAACCACATACCCACCTCGGTCTCCATTTCTTACCAGTAAAGAGCTGCCACAGCAAACATCCGACTGCGCTGTCGGCTCGCTCCCCTACACAGCCCAAGTTAACATCATCCAAACTTTTCCACTAACCGGGAGACTCCCTAACTCCCACTCAGCACACACACAAAAACCATACAGACAAGAACTGGCAACCCACTCATGCGTACCTGTTAGATACAGAGTAAAGGAAATGAAACGGTGGTATTTGCTGAGAATCCGCAAAGGCTCCTCTCTCTGGACCAGAGTGAAGAAGTAATCCGTTACTGTTTCACCATAGAAGAAATAATTTACACACAGTAGGAAGTACCTGTAAACAGAGACAGGTCACTGCACTGCATGGAGAACGCATGCAGGGTCTCCTACACAGCCAGGCAGTGAGAGGACCAGAGAGGAGCAGGCCTACCCTGCCTCAAGATCCCCTAGGTGAGTTACAAAAGAACAAGCAGAACTTGCTCTGGTAACACTGCTGGTGAGAGGTTTATCTAGACACTTGGGGCAGCTTTCATTCTCGCTTCACTTATCACAAACTTGGGACTGTTTCTGCCCCTTTTGTAGAGTTTACAAACCTAACACTAAGAACACTCAAATCATAAGACCCTCTAAAATGTGCCTTCATCCTTCCTCTCTGGTCTTATTTCCACTCTTCCCAAAAGGAAGCCTCCACTCTTTTGTCAAAATGGTTTACTCTGCCTTTCCCAGCTGCCTGCTTTGCGCCTGCCTTTTTCCTGCCTGGAGTATCCTCTTCACTTACCTGTTGTTCACTCATTGCTCAGACCATTTTCTTTGTAAAACCTCAGATATCTGTTTCCCCTGCATTTCTAGAGCGAGCAGTAGTTACTCATTTCACTAGGCAATGAATTACGGCCCATCATCTCAGAGCATCTCAGTCTCTGAAACCTGGCTCTCATGGTAAACCATCATCAGCATTAACTTTTCACTTGTCTACATCCTCTCTCCTCGCTCCTTGGAGGGAGGAGCCAGAGCTCATCTCCCTCCATGGGACTTTAACACACAACCATGCAGCCACCACTGCAAGCGCTGGACAAGGATCCTGAGATCAGGAGAAGAGTGGAGAGTTTCCTTTTACCATGTTTTTTTTTTTGTTTTTTTTTTAAAGCTGTCGAAGTTCAAGAACTCTCCATCTTAGATTTATTTTCTGTTACACAGAAAAAAACTTCTTTTGGTAAGTGACCACAGGCCAGAGGTCAGACCTCCGGGGTATGTTAACAAAATTCAAGACACTGCCTTCCAGCCACAGAACAGCCATGTCTTAACCCAGATGGCCATCACGGGTCCATCTGGAGGCTAGGAGGGAGCCTGCCCTGTTGAATGGTGGGAAAGCACCTCTGGGAGGGCGTACCCAGCCTAGTCTGAGCACATCAGCTCCCTTGGTCATGACTAAATTGCTGGGGCCAAAACACTACTCTCCAGCCCAGCTAAACCACAGAAATCAAATCCTATGTCCCAGCACAATGGGGTAAGAAGGGCTTTTATTTGCACAAGACTTCTCGGCATCATGCAATGCTCTGGTCAAACGTCACCAATCTGTTGTTGTGTGCCGCTAAGTAGATTCCAACTCACAGTGACCCTATATGACAGAGCAGAACTGCCCCATAGATCTCCTAGGCTGTAATCTTTATGGGAGCAGACTGCCAGGTCTCTTCTCCTTCAGAGCAGCTGGGTGGGTTCGAACTGCCTATCTTTCAGTTAGCCGCCAAGTGCTTAACCACTGTACCACCAGGGCTCCTAATCTCAGCATAATGTAGCTGATAAAGCAGAGAATTTCAGATCAGGAAGGGGTCTCAGAAACCATCTGCTCTACAGGCTTTTCGTTTGTTTTTGCTTTAAGGTAGTAGAGCCCTTTCCCAGGGAAGGGAGAAAAGGTTTCTCTGGAAAAGGCCGGATCCTATGCATTCAGTCTTGCTCCTGCCCACTCTGGCTCCCAAGGCACCTCCAAGGAACTAGAGTTCCAAAACCACAGTTTGAAAACTACAGTCTCACCTCACCTCCTTTAGAGACGAGGAAACCAAGTTCCAGAAATGGCAACACCAGCACCAGAACCTTCCAACTCCCAGACAACTTTAGTGAAATGCCGGGATGCTACAGCACAGAAAATATATTGGTCCAGAAAAGGGAGGCCAATCATGCAGTATCTGAGGAGCCCAAATACCAAAGTAAACATGGCCATAAATGCAGCTGGTCTTAGTTTCTCCCACGAAGATTCCAGACACCTGGTAACTACTAAAACCAAAAAACCAAACTGGTTGCCACCGAGTCAATTCTGACTCATAGTGAACTATAGGGCAGAGCAGAATTGCCCTATAGGGTTTCCAACGAGTGGCTGATGGATTCCAACTGCCACCCTTTTGGTTAGCAGCCAAGCTCTTTAACCACTGCACCACCAGGGTTCTGATAACTACTAACGACTCCTCAAAATCTAGTCACACAGTCTGGCCTATGAAATTCTCCAGGCTCAAAGATGCTGTGTAAGCCTGTAGCCATCACCCCTGCCTCCTACCCACCACCACTGTAAATACCTACCACAAAGCACTTAAATAAATCTGCTAAGGATCCTTCTGGGGCTAGAGAGCTTACCAGCTGAGAGTCCTGAACCAGGGCAGATCATAGGAGTGGTAGACGTTGTAGCCAATAGTGATTATCTCATGGAAACACTTAATCTGAACACACATCACCTGCAGGACACAGAAAAATTAGACCACTTGCTGATTCTCCAATCCTTATAATCTTTGGAAACAAAACCAACAGGTCATGGGCTGTTATGGATTGAATTATGTCACCCAAAAAGGTATCCTGAAGTCATAACCCCTATAATCTGTGAATGTGACCTTGTTTGGGGATAGAGGGTCTTTCTTTGAAGATATTACCAGTTAAGTCATACGGGAATAGAGTGGGTCTTAGTCCTAATCCGTTCTGAGTGGTGTCTTATAAAAGGGAGGAAGACACAAAAAGAAAGTCACACGGGGAGGAGAGGCTATGTGACAATGGAGGCAGATGCAAAGAACACCAAGGATTTCTATGCCTCTTTCCTAGTTATCACAAACCAGGAGAGAGGCACAGAATAATTCCTCTCTCAAACCCTTAAGAAGGAATTGACACAGTCAATACCCTAATCTGGACTTCTACCCTCTAGAACTATGAGAAAATAAATTTCTGTTCTTTAAAGCCACCCATTTGTGGTGTTTTGTTGTGACAGCACTAGAAAACTAAGACATGGACCTTCAACAAAAATCATTTTATTTAAGAAAAATTTCAGTCCTACAATGATTCTGCTCTCCTCTTCCTTTCTCTCTCACACTACCCCACATGGCAATGCAGCCCTTTATGTCACAGGAGTAGAGCCAATTTCCCACAATAAATACATGCTCTGTTATCTTAATTACCTTTTTATTCTAGAATCTCCTATAACTCAACCAATCCCTTTCCCTTTTGACTTTGAATATATATGCTAGGAAAAACTCCCAACTGCTTTGCTCAGCACTCAGCTGTTGGTCATTTGACCCTGTCCATGATGGTGGGAAGACTGAGGGAGAAGCACTGTGGACTGTGAGTTCTTAACGAAAACTCAAAGCCCATTAGTGAGGACCCAGGAAAACAACAAAACCAAGAGTCACACAAAGACATCAGCCAGGGTCACAGTTTAATCAAACAGTTAGAATAATAACAGTGGGCTGCTGAGAGATGAGAAGTCTCAGATATTCTAACGCAGAAATGTTCTAAGAAGTTGAGACTCCCCACTGATTGCAGAACCCAACACCTCGCATTTAAGACGACCAGTCCTGCAGGAAAAAAAACAAAGGCAAAACTAAAGTAGCATGCAAATGGCACTTACAATCATCATTAAAACCATTGGTCCCAGGTAAATGATGATGAAGAAAAATGCAATCATGGCCAAAGTCAGGATGCCTCTTACCCACCAGTTCTTCCATCTAGGTTAGAGAGTAGGGAAAGGAGAAACACCAGTTAGGAGTCCAGAAAGAAACAAAGCACAAGCCCTAGGGGGATGGCTCTTCCTGGGATTAGGGAGCCCTGAAGTTCAATCCTTTCCAGAAGCACTCCTTTGCCTTGACAGAGGGACTAGCCACATGCTGGCAGGAGCGGGGCCACTAATGCCATCGCCTCAACCACAACCAAACTCAGCAAGTGCTTTGAGGCCTGTAGAAAAATACACCCAGCTTATGTCTTAATGAAGGAATCAGGCAAAGCACTCATGCAGAATGCGTGCCCTCTGCTTCTATATCCATTTGGATGGCTCCTATGGCCATCTCTATCTGAAGAAAAAACTATGAATATTTTCCCTACAGCAGAATCCTACACTGCGCTGCTCCTACATTGTTGGGATGATAATATAAATTAAATAATGATAAAAACAGCTAGCACAAATTTGTGTCAGAACTTTTAGAAGGACTTTACATATATTAACTCATTCAACTCTTAAAATAACTAGCTTTTATGGATGAAGAAATTGAGGCAGACAGGCCATACTGCTGGCAAATGGTGAAGCTGGGATTTGAATCCAGGGGTCTGTAACCACTGCACAATACAGCCTTCCAATGGGATGACTGGGCAGCACACAAATTAACACTTTTTAGATAATGTTTTGGATCTTACTGTTTGTGTTTTTAATCTACCCACAAAGCTGGTGTTTGAAGGACCAGATTCTCGGGTCAAAAGTTTTAATCTGAGATTTCACTCAAGTTGAGATGTTTTTCAGTTTCTTCCTGGAGAATTTAAGGAACTGTTCACAACGGATATATGTAGGAGAGGGAAAATCGAACTTGGAACTAGAATTGTGGGATCCTCAGTGAAAAGAAGCCCATCCATTAGTTACAAACTCCGAGGACGATTTCTGTCGACATGCTCTGTGTCAGCCACTACCGCCCCCTACCACCATGCCTTGTCCATGCTTTTCCTCCTTTATGGACGGTACCTCCCAGCCCAGGCCTAGAGCACCCTTCAAGGGCTGGATCCTTCCAGATTGGGTGGCTCCTCTCCTCCGGGTCACCCACTGCGCTCACCATCATGTCGAGCACTGGATCACACTCAATTCTGCCCCAGTGCTCCATGAAAAGTAGGCCCTGGGCAGAGGCAAGGGAGACCAAGGTCAAGGCAAGTGGGCTGGCCTCCCCCACACTTCAACAGAAATGGCTCTATGAGGGCTTTGGGTCTTCCATGGCACTAGGACATGATGCGAGGTCCCCAAGAGCACCTGCATCATTAAGCCAGGTTACCTTGAAGACAAGTTGGAAAGGGCCCTGTTGAGGACCTCCGGGGTATCATCTGCAGAGGTTGGCGGGGGAGCAGGTTCCACTCGACTCTCACTGTCCGAGGCAGTCTCTCCATCGACCTTTGCTTCAGATTCCAACTCCTACATGGGAGCAATGCAGAAGAGGGAAGGTCAGAAATGCTGAGTAGAATACTGAGAAATGTATGCCTGTCTTTGGAGATCTGTGGAGAGAGACTGCAAATGGCCTGAGGAACCTGGTGCAATCAGGCAACAGGAATAGATGGGACCAGCAGCAATCTTGACACTGCTCTGACATGTGCCAAGGGGGCCGTGTCCTTTGGAAGAGTGGTGTTCATCTGCATGGAGGGAGCAGTCCCCTGCGCTAATAATCCCTTCGTCTTACATGGGTCTGGGGAAGGGATAGGTCCAGAGGAGAGAGAACCATGTTCTTCGTATCCAAAGAATGCAAAAGGAGACTGTGCCTGGATTTCACTAGCCCTCATTCCTGACTCTGCCCTTCGTGCAGGTGCCCCCAGGTTTACTCCCTCTATGGATTTGGCTGTGGGCAACCAGGAAGACCCACCCATCTCATGAAAACCCCTCTCTACCAGCACTTAAATCACCCCGGGCTACATGCTAGTCCACCACCCCAAAGGTTCTGAAACAGGCAATGCCTCAAGGACGTCCCCTCTCCAGGTACATGGAATTAAGACCAAGCATTAAGAACAGGTTTGCATTCTCAGTGTTAACTTTACACCCACACCCATCACAACCATCAGCAAGATGAGGTAATGCGGTTGAGATTAGAGGACTCTCTGAGACTACTGTCCTGAGATACTCTTTAAACCTTGAAACCCTTGAGGTCACGTTTTAGCTAAATAATAGACTTGCTCACAAGATAAAGAATATCACCCGTGAGTACTGCGTTCCTTTAAAAAAAAAAAAAAATCACCTCTGAGACCAGTCAACAATTAACTTAAAACAAGGGTAAGAATGCAACGGGCCAGAGAAACTAGATTAATGGGAACAGAACAACCAGAACAGAAATAACAAGAATGTTCACACATTGTGAAGAATGTCATCAATGTCACTCAACAATTTCCCATTCAAATTTGTATAGAAATTGTTGAATGGAAATCTAAAGTGCTGTGTAAACCTACACTGAAAACATAACAAAATATTATTTAAAAAAAGATGAGGTAATGATGCTGCATGACTATCTAAATTTGACCCCTAAACCGCAGGGCTTCAAATGTGAGCATCTGGGCCCCCACTACGGCCGCCCCCAGATGCTCTGCGGGAGGATCTAGGAGCCACAGGGACTGGCCTGGAGCAGAAGCAGGTGAGAAGGCATGCAGGCACACACGTGTGCACAATAACATTATTTTTAACTGATCCTTCCTGTTGTCAAGGAGACTCCCAAAGGCTGCTGGCTCCCCAGGCAGAGGAAGGGCCACACTGAGCCGGGCAGAGCTCCTGCAGGAAGAGGGCAGGGAGCTCCAGCTCTTTATCAGGAGGCTCTGTGGACCTTCCAGACCCTTTTATGAACTGTTAGCTGGTACTGTGCCCTGCAAATACCATCATATCTGTCTTCTCTTCCTCCTTGCTAGGAAGGAGATGAAGTGAAGGGAGGTATCCTGAGGCAGAAAGTAGTAAAAGGAGGTAGGGAACTGTTATAAAGACATTGTAAGTTGTTATTACCGAGACAACAGAGTGGCTGGGATGATGAATAACTAAAAAAGAAAGCAAAAACCCTGAGGAAACAAGCCTGGAAGATTAACTTTTGAGGTTTTACCTCAAGTAACTCCAGGGTCCCTGGGCTTCATCCCAGGCCCACTGAAGAAGCATCTCAGAGCCCTCTACCTGGAGGCACTCTCTGGACAGGAGACAACCTACACAAATGACCACTTTCCCACAAGCTAAAACAGGGCCAAATGAGGCTGACAGGGTAAATCCCTGTGAGAAGGGAAAGGGCACAGCCCGGAGAGACACAGATGGGAGGGGGTGGCAAGTCATTCAGCTCTCTGGTACCCAGCCCCCCAGGCGTGGATGTCACAAGGGAGCAGACCAAAGGAACAGGCTGGGGTTTTCTGGCTCCTCCCCACCTCATGGGAGGAATGGCTTCTTATGCTTGGTTAGGTAATGAAGCTGAGTGCCGGCAGTAGCTTCATACTGGACTCGGAAGGAGGCCACGACTTGGAGCCCGAGTTCTTGCCCAGAAGAAAAGAAGTGCGTGCTGGACCAAACGCCAGAGGCAGCAAGCATGTTCACTGGTTTGCTCGTTGAGGGATGGTTGGCAAGGCAGGTAACAAGGAAAGCTTTCTACACAAGGCAGCAGCAGCCAGCCAAGGAAAGCAGTGCCCTGGTCCGGGCTCTGACGCTCATTACACTCCGTACAGGCCTCCATTCCCTGGTCTTCACAGGGGGAAAGAACTGCCTGTCTTGGAGGTTACTGGGATGATCAACTACAACATCAATGAACGTCTAAGAAAATTGTACGGTGACTGAATAACAACAGGTGCTAGATAAACAATCCCCTGCTGCAGCCCCACCCCAATTTCAGTGACCCTCTTCCTTCCAGAACAGAAGCTGAGCAGGGCAGACCCTGTCTCTCAGAGTCTACCTAAAGCACCACCCATCCTCCCACAGTCCCTCAGCCATTTCCCAAGGGGGTTGTGGTGCTGGTGAAAACGGGAAACAAGAGTGTTGCTTTAGGTGTGGGGGGGGGGGGCTCCTTCCTAGGCCCACTTCCATTTGGTTCACGTAGACTGGATAGGGAAGGGCAGAAGCACTCACAGTGATGGACACATGGAGTGTCCTGGGTACCAAGGGCTCAGTAAAAGCCATCAGCATTTTTGAGAAACTCCTGCTGGACAGGCTTTCCCTGTCAGCCTTTCAGGACCTGGTCCCTAAACTGCCCAGCAGCCTCCCTTCCCCACATAGCACCGACCTAGGCTCAGGCCAGCATACGAGCCTTCCTTCAGCAGAAGCAAGAGAGGGCAGTGAGGAAGGGCCAGAGGAAGCAGCCGGGAGACAGGGATCCTTGTGGTCAAGGTTTCGCTTTTCCCAGGAACAGTTCTAGCATTTGTAGAACTAGTTTTCATCCTTATTCTCTAGTTGGAAAACCCTGTTGTTGGGCTCCTACCCTACACCCTCCATTTTCTCTCAATTCTCAGGACTTCCTGAACGCCTGGCCTTGGCTTTAAAAAGCTTACTGGGCGACATCCTTTTGAGACTCCCTTTCAGTCATCAGTTGGTCCCAGGGGCCCATCCTCCTACTTCAAAATTTCTCAAGGCTCCACAGTGACACCGTAAGTGGTTGATGGTCAGAGCTTAACCAAAAAGTGCAGATGGAGCCAGAGCTGGACCAAGCCCTTGGCAGGGTGCCAACCCACCTGGGAAGCCTGGGTTCCAGGAATACGGGAGCTGCCCCACCATATACCCTGTTTCTTTATCAGATGCCAACTCAGTCTTGTACCCTGCTAAAGAAAATACACTAATAATCTGTTCATGTTTGCCTAAGAGGGGGGTAAAAACTAGGGAACGAAAATAAGTGGTGCCCTCCCACTAGCCTTTTTCTTCTCTTTTTCATCTTAAAAGGACAATTTTTTAAAGGTACTGATCAATGCAATGGCTGGTTATGTCTCCAACAACTCTGCCCTGCCACTGGCACTAGAAATTTAGACATTACGTTGAAATTCTTAAGTTTCACTTACTAAGTGGCTCCGTAATTTATACAAACTATTTTCTGCACTGTTTTGTATGCAAATTGCAAACCTCTCCTGGAGGAAAGTCATTAGGCCAATTCTGGCCTTTCTACTAAATCTGTGCCTGCCAACTTCTTAATCAAGCCACGTGACAGCTGCCAGGACAATCAACTCCCCCACTTATACAGACTCGTCCCCTAAAGAGAAGTTACCAGAGACAGGTTTATCTTTAATAAGAGCACCAGGGACTCACACGTCTCTCTCACTGAAAAAGCCAAGTAGGTTTTCGTCTGAGTTCCCACTGGGGGGATAGAAAAATACACACATATATTATGGATTGACACAGTGGCTGCCAACAATGGGCTCAAACACAGCAATGATTGTGAAAATGGTGCAAGACCAGGCAACATTTACCTCTGTTATACATGAGGTATGCTGTTGTTAGGTGCTGACTCAACGGCACCTAACCACATTATATGTATAGTGTTTGGAACAAAACAAAACAAATGTCTAGCTCTTTCTAATGCTAACCTCATTTGACAAGTTCAGTTGTCTGACCAAGTGAGGAACATGGCCATCACCCTGGGCTACTCCTCCCTCAGCCCCTAGACCTATCCATCACCCACTCTTTTAATGCTACCTCCAAAACAGCTTTCAGCTCCATCCACTCATTCCCTTCATCTCTGTAACTCCCTTGATTCCAACCAATATCATCCCTTCTCTGGGTAACTGCAACAGCCGAACTGGCTACTTCGCTTCCAGCTTTGAGTCCACCCCCACTGCAGCAAGAGGAACTTTCCCAGAAAGAAAATCTGATCGTGTCACATCCCATCCTGAACCCCTTCCATAGCTCCCCAGTGTCCACAGCATTACGTCTAAACTCTCTAAAATGGCTAACAAGCCCCTTCGGGATGCGAGTCTTGTCTATGCTTCCAGCCTTGTTCCTCGTAGCCATGCTGAACAGGATGTAACTTCTCACCTTTAGGCCTTTCCTCATGCTGTTCATGCCTAGAAGTCTCTTCCCTGAAATCCATCTCTCTTCTGGCTAATTCTAATTTATCCTTCAGCTCCCTGCTAAGAGATCCCCGTATCTCCAAACCTTCCCCAACTGCCTGTGTGTCCCAGTGGTCCCCGTCCTTCCCCAGCTGCACTACCCACTCTGTATCACCTCCTCCTCTAGTCCATAATCTGAGGACTGGAGCCATGTTGACTGCCTCACCACTGCATCCCCAGCGCCTGGCACAGCACCTACCTAGAATGTAGAAAACAGTAAATAAGTCTCACCATATCTGCATAAGCAATCACAGCCAATCATTCAGAGAGAACCCAGGCTTTTACTTGGATTGACAGATCCAGATCACAGCTGTCTACGCAAAGCTTAGTTCAGCAACTCAACATTTTTTGCACTCTTACTAGCACTATATGAGGCATAAT